GGGGGGGGGGGGGCAAGATTTCTTTTGTATTTTTATTACTACATATCTGTTGCTAATTTCAGCAATGTTGTAGTTACTTACAACTGTTGTGGAAAAAATACAAACTTAGAGGAATATGAATGAAGATATATTATGAAAATTTATTGTATGTAGTGTCCTGTAGTGTGGGGAGAGTAGAGGGAAGAAAAACTACAAATATTCAATAATGCCTGGTTTATTTCAGAGTGTCTCTGAAGTGTAAGTTCAGGAAGACAGTGTTGGTGGAATTTAGTTATAAATCGTGTTTGTTTAATGTAGGATTAAGAATGTTCAAATACATTGAATGAGTAGTGCCTTAGATTCTATAATAGCCTGTTACACGTTTTCCTGAATATAACTGCTGCTCCATTGATGAATTGGGGAAAGCTCTCATAAACTGTTACCACTGTTTGTAAGCACCATTTTGAAATGGTAAAGGAAATAAATGTTACAGTTCCACTCACATATGTAGGCGTTGCTATTCAAACACCTCTTTGAAATCTGATGGCAAAATAAGGCCTTTGAGTGCTATAATCTAGTAATGATTTCTCTGAGCTAGTAGGAAGTGTTGTAGGGTATAGGTACATTGTGCAGGCACACCTAGGCTAATACCAACCTTGCAAACAAGCGTTGAAGAGCCTGTCTCTGTATGTGTACATGGTTGGATTCAGAACCAGTCCTCAGATGTTTCACCTGCTGCTGCACTGAGGTGCTACACTTCCCTGTGATCTGCTCCTAAGTCATCTTGGGTGCAGCACTGTGCAGATGTGACTTCATACTTAAGGACCTCATCTAGTGACGTGCATAGCGTTACTACCTGCATTAATCAACTTGGGTTCAGACTAACTCAAGATACCTTGCACTGTTAAATGTCATGGATATACTCCCACATCCCTCACATGAAGGCATCCTGAGAGGTTGCCTGGTTGATAGTTTTTTTGGAGTTTTGTTATTTATCCTGTTAAAAATACGTAGTAGCTGTATTTACTACCTGCAGCTAACAGCCTGTATAAGTTGAAGGTGTTTGAATAGCAGTTCCTGTGTATCTAAGTGGAACTTAAAATTGTACAAGGTGACTCCCGAGTTTTTTCCAAGTGTGGTCATTCTGTAAGTTGTGTCTACTGTCTTTGCATAAAGCAAGAACTCTGCCTTCTGTGCATCTGTTAAGTTCTTTAGCGTGATGGTTTTATTTCCACCCAGGCTGCACTCAGGTTTTAGACATCTGTCTTGTAAGCAAATACTAACCTTAAATTTAGAAGAATTCCATGTGGCAAACAGCCACCAATTCTATTAACCAGTAGATAAGATTTCTGAACTACAGTAATATTGTATGTCTTGGTGAAAACTTGCCAGCTGCTTTTAATATGGTTGGTTTGCATCACAGCAGTATAATGTGAAATGTATCATCTCGTGTGATTTAGTGTTGAAGTCTTGTTGCTGTACAGCCTAACCAAAATACACCTTCTTCCATTTAATTACTTCTAGTAAATACAAAGTGGATTGTGCTTGCCTCAAAGAAAATCCAGAATGTCCAGTTCTCAGACGTTCTGAACCTACAGAAAACATCAATACTGGATATGAAACCAGAAGGAAGAAGGGAAAGAAAGAGAAAGATGTCTCAAGAGAAAAGGAGACTCAAAATCAGAACATCACATTGGACTGTGAAGGAGCAGCCACCAAAATGAAGATTGCAGATAATAAACAGAGGAAGCTCTCTCCCCTCAGGCTGTCCATTTCTAATAATCAGGTATTGATTGACACAAAGGTGATGGAAAGAAAAGCTTTTAAACACAAATACTCTCCTTCTGTAGTTACTAAAGGAATTTTAACAAGTCACTGAAAAGGGGTAACGATGGATAAGCTGTTTAGAATTTTTTTTATACTATTCTCCATTTTCCTTAATATTTCATTGTATTTAAAGATATGTTGGTTCCTGTACCGGTTTTAACTATACCTTTTTCCTCCGAATTTCTTTGTGGATCTCTGATGTGAAAGCTTCATGTCATGCTTTCGGGAGCTCCTAGTCCACCCTCCAGTGTATTTTGGTTAGTTGCATGCATTACTCAGGAGCATAGTATTTTAAACATAGCAATATATTTAATGCCCTGCTGCTGTAACAAATAAAACTTCAACTATTAAGGGTTGGCTGCAGGTCTGTGTACAAGATTAAATACAGTTTAGGGAGCCTGTAATTTAGGGAGGAGGAAGGTGTGTTTTGAAGCCGAATACTGGATAATAGGTGGATAGTACCAGCTACCTGGTAATGTACCATGTAGTCAGTTTCAAATTAGTGCTGCTTTTAATGTGTTAGCTTGAAAGAACTAGTGGGAGAGGTACATAAGATGAATTATTAACTTCATCTTGCAGGACAGCTATTAAAGATAAATATTTAATAGAAGATAGTTACCTTAGTAACTGTCTGTCTTTTCTTTCTTTTTAGGGGTGGGTGATGGTAGTGATTTTTACTTTTATTATTTTCCTTATGTGATGGGTTTTGATGATAATTTAGGAGCAGAGAGAAAGGGATTATTCTGGGAGAGAGCCATTTCCAAGTTCTTTATCTTTTAACATCACTTAGGAGTGAAGGTAATAAGGTGAAAATGAGCATATTGACACCTAGTTTTCTTAAAATGATCAAATTGTTCTGGGGTTTTAGTAGCTAAATAGGTTAAAAATGCATGGAAGTCCAGAAGGCATGGCACGTGGCTGACTTATGATCTCCAGAGGCAATGTTTAAACTTTCTCATCTTAAGTAACTTTTTGGGTTTAACAAGCCATAACTGGTATTTGGAACCTTCTCCTGAGCTTTTAACATAATATACAGTGCTTTTATAGAACAATCACAGGAGAACTAGTATTGTTTTTCAAAACAGAACTTAAATCAGTAAGAATTGTGAGAAGAGTAAAGCTGTTAAAACATGTATCTAAACGTAGAAGCCTGTCAATTAATAATAGCTTTTTTTCCTGGGGTGAAATATATAATGCTAAGGTAAAGAAAGTGTATGGAAAAATGTAAATACACTTTTAAGACGTGTTAAAAACACCATGTTGTCTATACAAAAGTGAAATCGTATATGGGACTAGTGAACACAGATCTTTTCAAAGCTACTGTTTAATCTATTCAATTTTTTTTATTATTTTTTTTTTCCCAACATGGAAAACCATTATTAGTTGGCTAACTCTTGTGTTTCCTTATGGTGTGGTCACTATCATTAGATTCTGCAGTGACAGTTTAAATGGAAAGTGTGATGTCAGTAGAATACATTCTTGAGCTGAGAACTTTTACGTAATTGGCTGTTAACATCTCCTTTGACATTAATTCTATTGCATTAAAACTAATGTTTGTTGGTTGTTTTTTTTTAATGTGGGTGTAATGTAAATTTCTCTTGGCTTGGAGGTTTAATTCTGATTTTTTTAAATATTTTTTGGTTTTGGTTGGTGGGGTGGGTGAGTGGGGATGGAACCCCAACGTTTTAATAAGGTCAGCATGCTAAAGAAACGTGTCTAAGCTCAGAATGGTAAAATGTTTTTATTTATAGGTTTATATGAAGTGGATTATTAGGTTTTTTCACATTTCTGTATTGATTTATTGACTTGGTTACCCTTGCTATAGTGTTCTGAGGATTCTTAGTTCTGTGTAGCTTTTACTTTTCCCTAGTTTGCAATAGTGGAGCTTCTGTAAAGCAGTCATTTCTGTCTTTCAGGAGCCAGATTTTATTGATGATATAGAAGAAAAAACTCCCATTAGCAATGAAGTAGAAATGGAATCAGAGGAGCAGATTGCAGAAAGGAAAAGGAAGATGGTAAGTTGGGAAGCAAATAGCTGCTCAAAGTTGTTACTAAGGCTTAGTGACATCTGCTCTTCCTGTGCTAATTGCTGACTTTTTGTGGGCTTGTAGAATTTGAGTGTGTGTGAAGTCAGATCCTTACATGAACTTAAACTTAAAATGCAAGGCTTGCTATTTGAGAGCATTTCAACTGGCTTGATCATTGCTTCCTGACACAAACCTGCTTCAGCTGTATATAATTTTCTGTTGCCTTTAAAAAAGATGTTGTAGAAATCATGTAGATTTTGTTTTCCTCACTTTTTATTACTGAATGTTATTTGTGGTGACACTTTATAGATAGGATTGGGAGTCGGAATTTTTACCTGACTGCATATTTTTTTTGAGTTCCCAGCTTATAAAGCCTCAGAAATCCTAATTTTCAGAGGTTGGTAGAACAGTATTATGAAAACTGGCATTTTAAGATGTACTTTTTTTGTTGGGCATGCAAAATGTGAGATACTTGAAATTACTAGTTAAATCAAAAATTGTATTATCATATTACAACAATCATGTTATTGTTTGTGCTCACAGAACTTCTTACTAGTAAGTCACTATTTTTATCTAGTTCTTAAATCCAAAGCAGGTGTCTCTTCTTGTTTGTCAGGGTTGGTATGAATGCAAGCCTTTCTTCAGAAGTCTGTAGTAATTGCAGTCATTGTAACGTATGAGTTTTTGCTGAAATTGGTCTGCATGTCAACATGCACTGAACATGTTGTGAAGTACCTAAATATATATATATAAAAATTATTTATGTATTTACATATGCAAAATCTTTTGACTGTAACTTGATCATGATTGTTATTAAATCCATCAGACAAGAGAAGAACGGAAAATGGAAGCTATCCTGCAAGCTTTTGCCAGACTAGAAAAAAGAGAAAAAAGAAGAGAACAGGCTTTGGAAAGAATCAGCACAGCAAAAACTGAGGTTAAATCAGAATGCAAGGAAGCACAGATTCTCAATGATGCTGAATTTATTCAGGTAGTTATCTGGTACTTTATTTTAAAACTAGCTTTTAACATGGCATATTTTATTTGTTTGGATGTCAAGCTGCAGTTGAAGATGTATGAAACTTTTCTGGTTTTCCTCTAAACTCAAATATGTTTGACCAATATATACATAGTTCTTTGACATCATAGTGTGTTAGCTCCTGATTATTTTTTTCAAGAGATATGTATAGAATCCATTTATGAGAAATTCCAGTTACATTAATTTATGCCAATGTGCACACACACATACCAGCTGTATAATTCAGTCTCTCTTTAAAGTTCAGGACAGGAGGTGTTTACTGATGCTGACTTTAGCCAGGGGAGAGGTGGCTTTCCTTAGGCACCCTCTGTAACTAGTAGAGAATAACTTGTTGCTTCGGTAGGTTATTCAGGAACAAATTATAACCCTTTCTTTTAAAGGAAAGAAATTACTAAGGCGTAGTTTGTTCTGAGTTCTTGCAGATAATACTTAATGTTTCACAAACTTTTTCTTTTACTCTATTGTTGCTGGATGCTAGGATGCTTTTTACCTTGCAAATAGTTTTACAGATTCTCAGTTCACATTGTTTACCTGGATAATTTCTGTCAGTGTGCTGTTAAGTACCTTCTGTGACAATGCTGAACACTTGGTAAACTACAAATTGCAAAAAGGTTATTAGACTGAGAGATGTTATGATGTAAGCAGCTGATTTCTAGCTTATAGATGAATGCATGTGCTATGGCAATTCTTACACGAATCTGTGTTGATCTGACCAGCAACTGGTGTGTGTGAATACTCTGCTAATGATGTAGTAGGCACTTGAGAGAAAGATACAGGAAATATTTCAGTTTGTCTTGAAGAAGGATAGAAATATTTCTGAAGTATTTTAGTTCTGACAACAAAAATGAGACGAAGGCTTTTTGGACCTGTAAAGGGAGAACTGACACTTTCTTTTAAGAAAGATATGTAGCTTTACATGTGTGTGGGATCTGTTTACTAGACTCTTATTTTGTACCAGGAACCAGCAAAAGAAGAAACTGCCACCAAGCCTACCCCAGCCAAAGTTAATAGAGCTAAACAGAGAAAAAGCTTCTCTCGGAGTAGAACTCACATTGGACAGCAGCGCAGACGACACAGAACTGTCAGCATGTGTTCAGACATCCAGCCGTCTTCTCCTGACGTGGAAGTAACTTCCCAACACAATGAAACTGAGAATGCTGCACTGGTAGCTGAGCCTGAGACAGAGACCATTGTTACAGAAATGGTTACTGAAACGGAAGCTCCAGCACTTAATAAATGCCCTACTAAGTATCCGAAAACAAAGAAGGTATGTCTCTTAAGGGGTGGGGAGAAGAGGGTGAACTTTAACAGAGTTTTAAAGAATTACAGACTTCTGCATCAGTATGGTGGGTTTTTTTAAAGAAGTTGCCTCCTTTAAAAATCACCATTATATAGCTACTCACTGGTAATAAATTAAGAAATTAAGGGTGTGTAACATCCATTGGTAGAAGATATTTTGGATTTTAAGAGACTTCCAAAATACATCTTTCAGAACAACTTTAGAACATATGTTTTGTAAGGGAAGTACTTTCTAAGTGGGCTAAAATAATAGATGTAACCAAAACATAAAGCTGTTAATTTAAATGGAAAGAAAGAAATACAAGTTGCCTTTCCTTCCTTCATTCATCATATCCTTTTAGAAGATACTTTAATGGTAGCAAACAGAATATCTCAAAGGAAGTCATTAACTTCTAGTACTTCTGAGATGTCTGTTCTGAAGTGAATGGATTTAAACACTCAATACTTAGGTGCGTGCTTGGAGGGAAGATTCTTTACTCTCTTTAAAGCCTTGGGTTTTTCTTTATTTTTTGTGTTGGACTGCATTGCAGAAAGCCTGAAGAAATGCCCCAATATTCAAAGACACACACAAAAAAAATCTTAAATCTGCGAGTGTGAATAAAACAGTATAGCTTTGTGCTTTAAAATTCTACAGACTGCATTAAAAAGTGACTCTTTTTCAGCACACTTACCAAGTTTTGAAAATTTTATTCAGTGGAGGGGAAAAGGAAGTCACATGTTGAAACTTCTTGTCAAATGTACAATAACAATTCCAAGATGGTTTTATCATAAACCCCAAATGTATTACTTTTTTTTTTTAAAAAAAGGCACCTGTGTCATCCTGTAACAGTTTATTATATCACTATTAAATTCTTGTCAGAGGGGAGACTAGAATCTTTCTTTTTTGCATAACAAAAAAGAAGGAAGTTACCCAAGAAAACAATTCTACTGCACCTTTTTGCTGCTTCATAGTATTAAGAATAAATGTCTATGAAACATCTCATTGCATTGTACCCAGTGTACCTTGAGTCAGGAGAAAGTCTTGCTTCAAAAATGAATTAATAATGATAAATAAGTTTGTAAAAGACAAGCAACTTAACACAGATTATCATAATATATTTAATTTAAAAGCCTTAATGCATATTAATAATACTAATGTGCTGGTTTTGCATGTCCTTAACTTTGTTGAACCATTGTAAGATTTAGGAGATTAGTTTCTTTGCTAATAGGAACTAAAATCCACTGGCGTGTTTTTCAAAAACACTGAACTAGCTAGGAAAGAATACCCTTTTTGGACAAGTAATTTTTTTTTTTTTTGCTTAGTAAGTGTGTTGTAACTTATTACAATTACAGTAGAGAAGAATGTTCTGGCGTAACACATTGAAGCACAGTCCTGACAGTACAGAAATCTGATGAGGAGTTTACTTAGCGTAATATTGATAGATCAAAGTTGTTTCCCCTCAGCTTAGGAGCTCAGGCACAAGTTTTAACATTTGTCTTGGAATTCTACTACTAAATTCGTATCAGAAGTACAGCTGATGTGGGCACTTGTATAGTGCATTCAGTGAGAATTCAATACAAAAGAACTAAATGTTAGTTTACCAAAAAAAAGACACACACACACACCCCTTCCCAAAATGCCACAAAACCATAAACCTAAAAAGCAAAACCCCCAAAACTTCGATATGTAGAACAAATCTGTACTGATTTCTTTTGCTGTCCCCATTATTTTGCTAAAACTCCTCACTCTTGCCCTATGTATTCTTGAACTTGCAGCCTGGAAATTAGGTGTTTTCTGGTTTGTGTAACAGTTGATTAGGTGAATAATTAGACTTAAAAGTTTCTAAAGGCCACTGATAAAAACAGTCATAAAACACTAATATATTTTTTTTCTCTCTTTCTGGTTAGCACTTGGTCAGTGAATGGTTAAGTGAAAAGAGTGATAAAACAGGGAAGCCTACAGAGAGTGTGTCAGAAAGGCCTCTACGTATAACTACCGACCCTGAAGTTCTGGCTACTCAGCTGAATTCTTTACCAGGTCTCACTTACAGTCCACATGTATACTCAACTCCAAAGCACTATATTCGTTTTACTTCACCATTCCTTTCAGAAAAGAGGAGGAAAAAAGAACCTGTGGAAAACATTACTGGCTCTTGTAAGAAGGTAATGCTTCCCTTCACTGTGGTTCCCCATCCCATATTAATTAAAACTAAGTCTTTATTTGCTAGCATGAATGCAAGCAGAGAAAAGCTGGCTGGCAAACCAGTTCTGTCATATGTAACATGTTTTGAAACATTTACCATTAAACTGTTAAGTCACTGATTTGAACTTGTTTTTTTACAGCGTTGGTTGAAGCAGGCTTTGGAAGAAGAAATCTATCAATCAGTGTTGAATTTTAACTCGCCATCACAAGAGAGATCTAGAAGTCCGGCCATCAATGGTGAAAATAAAAGTCCTTTGTTATTGAATGACAGCTGTTCCTTAACAGGTGAAGCTTGTGCTCATGCAGTACATGAGAGCTGTGTCAAAATAGTTAAATGCGGAAGACCGTGGTTTTTATAGTAATGAGTTAGTGAAAATTCCAGGGGTATTTGCACCATTCTCTGATACTTTCAAAGACAGACATGCTTAGTTGCATAGTGAGTGGGATTTTTCCCCCTTTAATGTATAATTAATACTGTATAAGTAACCACTATATCTCATAGAATTTACAGTTGACAAAAGACAGACTAATGTTTTTAACTATTAAAAGGTTGGATTATAAATTCATTTTACATTCTGGTCCTGTATATTCAGAATTCCTTTTAATTTCACTGGGCCTGTGTTGCACACAGGGAGAAAGCTGTTTAGTCTTTTAGGTGTAATACAAAAAGGAGACATGCTAAAAACTAAACGCACTTCCCTAAGGATATGGGGTGTATCAGATGATCCCTGTGTACAGTCCTGAACTTGGAATTTCTACTTTTCAGCTCAGCAGGGAGTAAAAATGCATAGAAGTTGACGTTCCCTCTTCTGGAAATGTAGACAGTTCTTCCCATCATCCTAGCACACAAGTTTAGTTACTGATACATCTGGAGGCTGTTTATTTTTCAGGATGTCTGTAGGCTGTTAAGAGTTCATCTTTCAGGAAGCCTGCCCTTAAGAGATTTTTGTAATCATACTTATTTTTTTATGTGGAGTTCACAATTTCATTACATCAAGTACTTAAACACCTGTGATTACTATATCTAGATGTATTCTAACTTTTTTTCTAATTTTACCACAGATCTAACAACACCACTAAAAAAACGACGACTGTATCAGCTGCTGGAGTCTGCGTTCTCAGAAACCTCCACACCTACTCCTTCTCCCTATGCCACACCGACTCATGCTGACATCACTGCCTCCGAGCCATCCTTGTTTGCTACTCCTCCGAGGGTAAAAACAGAAGATGAAGCTTGTAGAAATGGTTACAAACCCATCTATTCACCAGTTACTCCTGTAACTCCATGTCTACACGGCAATACCATGCACTTTGAGGTGAGATTTATGAGTTTGTGTGTTCAGGGAACACGTTTGCACATACTGTAAATCAGTATTTGTACTCCTGCTACAAGGGGGTGTTTAAGTTTATCCAAGCTAAAAAAAGAAATTGACTTGCAATTTCTTCTTATTTATTTAGAATATTTCCTCACCTGACAGTTCCCCAGAAATAAAAAGGCGAGCTTACAGTCAAGAGGTAAGGATATTTGCCAAAACCTGCAAATGGTGTCTTGATTGCACCTGTATGGCTGCACTGTTCTTAGGAAAAATGCTTTTCATCAGCCACTGAAAGTTCCCTGGAATGTAAAGGGTGGCTTCCCTGCAGGCTTTATTTGCTTATTACTGTATATTTCCACTTCTTTTTTTAAACTGGATTCTCTTTCCTCTCTTTCTGTATCACTTAAAAATCCTGATGGCTGCCATGGAATGGAGTAACTACTGCAATTTATAGATAAGAACAGGGAAACCACACTTGTGCTTTTCAATCTGTGGTTAGATTTAAATTAACATTTCTCTTTGTTAGTAGCTTCTCTTAATTGTTTTTGTTGAGCCTAATTATGCTCAGAGTGAGAGAGCAGAGCAGAAAGGTAATAAATGGATTTAGGTGGATTAGTTCAGGAGGAGCAAGTGATGCTGGAATGTGCCTGGGTACTGAAGCCTGCTGGGCTGATGCTGGTGGCAGGACCACTGGGGTGTGTGTCGTGGGGGCCTTCTGAAACTATAACTGGATAACTTGAACCTTAATGGCACCTAAAATAAATATGTAAAAATAAGTAACAACAAAAAGACTTAGTGTGTTACCTTAATGGGGACTCTCACTTCTGGTGGGTCACGTAAATGAATTATCCAAAGATTCTCCCCTGGTATTAAGCACATACATGTTTTGAGGGGTTTTTTTTAGGTCAAAATCTTATCAAACATTGAAATACACAATATTTTTCATACAGTCATAGCTTTACTTAAAATAATAATGGCATTACTTCTAAACTATTGTAATTGAATATTTTAATATTTATCTCACTTGAAAGGGGAGGTTTTACTTGGGAACTTCTCCTTTGTAATACAAATAATTTAAAAGGATTAATGAAAAACCTTAAAACGTTGGTTTAGAAAAGCTACTTCTAGCAATGGACATGTTTTTCATGTTTCATGTTTAATACAGTTTTAAGAAGCATAAAAGAAACTTCTATGACTTCTACCTTCTACAGAATACTGGTTTTAATACTGTCTCAAAAATTAAAAGTGTCTTGGAAAAGATTTTCCCATTTTTATTTTATTTTCTTCTTGAAATAAATGTTTTGACACTGAGGATCCCTTTTATGTTGAATTGAAATAAGTGCTTTGTGACTTCTTGGCCAGGGACTTGCTCTGTTGCAGCTCTTCCCCTTTCTCTGCCAGTCATAAATCAAACCTGGCATTTAAAATTTATTTTGACTTCGATTATGGTACATTTTAGTAAAATGCAAATTAAGCAGTACATGACAATAGTAGAAATAAGTGTCTGGTTGCACAACTGGTTCTTAAAAATAGATACATTCATGGTACTGGAAGGCCTTTAATTCCACTTACAGGCACAACTGAATGTCAGAATAGTTACAGTTTTGTTGCAGTATGGAAAAATGGTTGACATGCTTTTTCTTCACACAGGGATATGACAGAGCGTCGATTCTAGCACTGAATTCTTTCAGAAATTCCAACCTGACAGAAATGGGCCTGCAAGAAATAAAGACTATTGGATATTCCAGTCCAAGGAATAGGACTGATGTCACGCGGCAGTGCACTGGAGAAATGGAATCTGTGTCAGACCTCCAGCTGGGACTCGAAGTAATTGAGCAAAGTGCACTGCATAAAAACCTGGAAGCCCCCCCACATGATAGGACTGATTCAAACAGCCAGTTAGAAACTGCTCATTGTGGACGGGGCACAATTTATTCTTCCTGGGTAAAAAGTCCCGACAGGACAGGTGTAAATTTCTCAATGAATTCTAATTTGAGGGACTTGACCCCTTCACATCAGTTGGAGGTAGGAGGTGGATTCCGAATAAGCGAGTCAAAGTGCCTGATCCAAGACGATGCTCGAGGCATGTTCATGGAAGCATCTGTTTTTTGTACTTCAGAAGATGGAATTGCATCTGGCTTTGGAAGGACTGTCAATAATGACAACTTGATGGATGGAAATTGCACACCCCAGAATCCTCCACAAAAGAAAAAGGTTACCATTTTAAGAATCATTTGGTCTGTTTTATGTGGTCTGCTAGTGATGTTTCTATAACAGAAAGAACCGTAATATAGTAAAAAAAAATAATCTGATAGCTCATCTTTAGGTAGTGCTATGTCGTAGACATTATTTAGGGGAAAATAATGAAGAGTAGAGGTGCATACACTCATTAGTAAATTTACTTTTTCCAAGTTGTAGATACAAATTAACTTCTATTTTATGAGTCTTAAACAAGTTGCTCAATAAATAATTGCTTTTCAGGTTTGAAAATGGTTGCTTATGTGAGCAAGTATTACAATGTTCTACTATACAGAATACATACAAGCATCATGGAGGACATATACTGTGAACATTTGTTACGAATTACTGCAAGAAATTCCACTAAGATTTATTTACTTTTAAATTCCAATTTTTAAAATACTTAAGGTAGCTTGGTTTCACTGTTAGAACTACACAGACATCTCTAGTTGCAAGAAATCTTTTTCTTGGCTTAATTTCTTTTTTTTTGTAAAATACTGTGTTTGAAAAACAAGCACAATCTAGATTCGCTGGTCTCATGGAACAGTTTGTGTAGGTAAGTTGTGTGGTCATGGGCAACCTGCACCAGAACTGGAAGTTTCCCTGCATCTGTCTCTGACTGGCCTTTACCGTCGGGTTTGACTCCCGTTGCTCCTTGCAAAGGGATGACAAACATGGAAGGTGGTAGTCTCCAGTGCAGCAACTTCCCAGTTCTGTCTCAACAGATCGTAACAAATGTTCTTGCTTGAAAGATGTGATTTATTTTTGTTACAGAAGGGATGATCGGGGGTGGGGGGCGTTCTGTGTGTGTACACGTGTGCACGGTGGGGGTTTGGTTTGTTGGTACCATCTGTACCCCCCTTGTACGCATCTCCTTCCCTTTGCTCTGGAGCATCCTGCTAGGGAGCACTCCTGATTTTTCTTCTGAAGTTCTCTGTCAGCACTGGATTTTTGTTTATTTTACTTCAAACTAAGATAACTGAAGGAAGATAGTAGGAGCTCTGTTCTTGCCTGGTCCTGACCCTGAGAGTTTTATAGATCCCATGCGTAGCATGTAGCCCTGCTGTTTTGGCAAAGCCAAAAAAGCATAAGCCAAAATTTCTGTAGCGTCACATTCTTCTTTGTCTGAAGGCTAAATTAATTTCTTTTCAAATCCCAGCAACACTTAGTGCTTCAGTAACCCTCTGCCCTTTCTCTTGCTGACAAAGCTTCTTTCTGGTTGTTAGTGCTGAGGGCTTATGCTACACTAATCCCCAGATGAAAAAAGGTGTGACTTCCCCTTGACACCCCCAGGATTCCTGGCTAAAAGTCTCAGTTTAAAGAAACAACCAGGGAAAATTTTCTCTACCTGTGACAGAATGGGTTTGGAGCTTTCCAAGGGTACATCAAAAAATACAACTTTTACAGTGTAAAAGGTAGAGGGGGGAATCTCACCTAAGGAGAAAGGAAGAAGTCAGGAATTCTGTAGGAGAGTAATAGAAGCCTTTCCCTAAGGATCACATAAGACATGGATGTCCTCACGCAGTTGTTAAAGGAGGTGGTTTTTTTTTTTTTGTATTGCAACATTTCTGTGGGCATTTGCTCCTCTGTTTTCCCTTGTCATTGTAGAAGTTCATCCAATTTCAATACAATCCTGTCCATAGTGGCCACGATGCATAATTTCACCCATTCTTAACACTTTAGCTTTCTTTAAAATACTATTCTTCAAGGGATCCCAATAACGGGATACAGAAATAATGCAAATTGTTTGAAAGCAATATAATTTCTTAACCTTTTAAACTTTTAACCTTTAACTTTGTTTTATGAAAAATCAAATATTTTTTAAGTGTTCTTACCCTGAGATATAGATGAGTCTTTAATGGATAGATCTGTTAAAAAGCAAGCAAACAAAAAAGCCCTAGGGCTGCAGACAAAGCAAGCTGCCTTGGTTTCACTCTCTATGTAGAAATAATACTTGTTTTTATTGAGGACTAAGCAAGTTAAACATGAATTTTTGTATTACTGCACTTCATTGTCTTGGTTTGGGTGCTATATGGTTCAGAATAGGTTGCTAATAATGAGCAGAAAAGATATAAATACATTAAATGTCATTTCCACCAGACTAGTTTCCTTACTGAATAAAGTAGGTTCAGATGTTTCAGACCTATCAGGTCAGTATTTCAGCTTTCTTCTTCAAATCCTGAAGAAACATAGTGAAAACATTTGAAAAATTATTTTTCTTACCTGGGTTAACTTAGTAACATTTAAACTGTTCTCTACTCTCTGGAAGCTTCTGTGTAGTGATTCTTATATACATACATATATGAAGTAGAAGCCACTTTTCCCTTTATTTTCATCATTTTTGGTAATAAACTTTATTTGGAATTTATCATTAAAGTATATTCTTAACCAGTCACTTCTAGAGTGCAGTAAAGACACAAATTCAAAATAAACTGGGAAAAGAATTTGTTAAGAGAAGCCTACAAAGGGCTTGAAGAATCCTTTGATCTGTGCAGTAGAGTGAAGCAGAAGTGTAGTGGGTTTTTCTTAAGAGGGAGTCAGACTGAGAGCAGGATGTGACTGACGTATCTTAAAATGAGCTTTCTATGTCAGTACAGTCTTCCTCGTGCTGCAGTTCCAGGAAAAACTATAGAAAGTCTCTTGTAGCTTCAACCACCAGTGTGACTTCAGCAGTGACCCTTTCTCTGACCTGCATCATCATCTTTCCTGAGGCAAAATGCACTTCCTTCTCTTGGCAGTAACTTTTCTTTACATTGTGCTCTGTATGTTCACTGCAGATGCAGGGGAATAGCTTAAATTAATCTGTCCCCATTTTCTTTCAGAACCAAGTAAATGCTGTGCCTTACTGCAAGAATACATTTAATCAAATGTGTCAGAAAGGAAACGAGTAAACTTCCCTTCTGATGTTGGGGTTGTTTTGTTTTTCCTCCCTAGGTATCCTTGTTAGAGTACCGTAAGAGACAACGAGAAGCTAGAAAAAGCGGCTCGAAGACGGAGAACTTCCCCCTGGTCACCGTGTCTCCTCATGCTGCTGGTGGAGGAAATACAAGTAGTAACAATGGTGCTAACGATGGGTATAACAACAGTGGTGAAAATGGGGAGCAAACAGAAAACACAGCAAGCCTGCCCTTACCACTGCCAGCTACTGTGTATAATGCAGCTCCAGAAGATGGTGGCAACACCTGTGCAATTAAGGAATCTTCTTCCTCCAGTGAGAAGAATGAACCAGAAGTTCAGTGGTAAGCACAAAACTATAGGAGTGAAGTGCTGAAGAATTATTTACTTAATTCTAAGTTTTTTCCATTTGAAGTCTAGTTTTTGTTGATAAAGGGTGCAGTTGCAGAGTACTGATTGGAAACCCTTCTTTCAGATTAGAAAAGAGTTGTCTTACCTCGTTCCTCAGAAATATAGCTCATAAAGATTAGAATGTATGAAAAACGACCCATAAGATACTGGTTAACTTATTTTCATTCTGCTTTGCTTTTTGATTTTCTCAAAGCAAAATAGGTATTGGTTGGAACAAGACAAGTTGCCTAGTTCTGTAGCTTATAAAATTGCGTAGGTAAAGTAGTTATAAGTCTGTAGAAAATGCCAGCAGTGAGTAGGTGTTCTCCTTCCACCATGGCACGGGCTGGGGTGTGAGCGCTTGCCGAGGTGTGTGGAGGAGGGAGCAGCAGTAGGATGGAGAGAGGGGGCTGTAATGGCTCTCAGAGATCCGAGACCGATCCTCAGCACGGCCTTGGCTCTGCACTCAGGTCCTTGTGTCCCCTCTGCTTCATCTGTGGGCTGAGGAGAATAGTTTTCATCTCACATCTCCAAATTTTTCCAAAAGTACAGTAGGGAGGAAAGGTGGAACAGGCCACTTCAGGAAGCGTGTTTCTCAGAGACCTGGCTGGAGCGTGTCTGGTGTCTTCTGCTGGGCAGTGTGTGGGGCTGCGCACGGTCTGCCCAAGGGGTCCTTCTGCTGAGGCAGGGAGCCTGTGGTGACATCTGTGTCACCATTTATCAATCGTTAAACAGCTCCCCTGTGTGCAGACCATACATGCTGTTGGATGCCATACCAGATACTCCAACAACCAAAGGTCCTGGGGAGAGACACGGTGTGAAGGGGGATGAGATAGAATGACTTCAGTCTGTATAAACATTGCACATCTTTTTCCACTACCATTTTGGTAGCTGTCTCCAAACTGTTACTAGCACAAAATAAACCCTGCAGATGTTCTTTGTGCTGTAGTGAAGGCCTAACAGTGTTGGGGACGGACATGGGCTGAGGAGCTGAACATCCTTCTGCTCAGATGCTCCAGCTATTCCAGAATAGAAGGATTTTGTAGAGCCAATTGAAGGGAGAACGTAAGTGCAGCCTTCAAAGTTTCACTGCAGTGGGGCTGTACGTTCACTGTGCAGAAACCAGTGTGCTGTGTTGTAAGCAAAGAATGTGGGAAACAGGCTAAACAGGGAAGAATTTATTAGTACGTTCTTGCAGAAATCCTGCAGAAAGCACCAAAATTTCTTTCAGTAGAGTGGTATTGTACAGTAATGCCCTATGTTCTTGCCTGAAAGACAGAGTTCTGTAGAGCACTGTCATACTGTGCTCCTTCATCAGATTGTGATTATTGGATGCAACTGATTATAAAAGAGAAGATCTGACTGTCATTTCATGCCCAGTGCCTGGCAGGTTAAATGCAGAAGGTTAAACAGAGATAGATTTGTAGTTGTGCAGTATTTACAACTATGGATCCGCTATTAAAAAGTAAATTTAAAAAAAAAAAAACAACCAAAAAATAAAATGGAAAAGAATCTTTCCATCTTTGGAAGAAGAGAGTTTTCTACAAATGGAGAATATGAAGCAGTCCCTGCAGCCTTTAATGTTTTGAAGTGTAGTTTTTGACTTTTTCAACTGTTTAGAATAAGAAAAAGCCAGCCCCACAGACCTACAGATCTTGTTTCCATATTAAGAGGAATTGTCAGTTCTTGTAATGCAACAAAGTGTATTTAAAGTGGAAGAAAATAGATACTTAACAAATGGCATTCCTTATGTACAGCCAGTTACTTGGCTTTTAACATTAAATCAATGCTCTAAATTTTCTCTGACGAAGTATTTGCATGTACATTGTCCTAAATTTGGTGGGTGGGAGTACCTCCTCTGAAATGTGCTTCTCTCCTCCAGGACCGCATCAACCTCCGTGGAGCAAGTGAGAGAACGCAGTTACCAGCGAGCTTTGCTTCTCAGTGATCATAGGAAGGACAAGGACAGCGGTGAGTTGACTGATGACACCGGAGGTGATCGATCTGAGCAGTTCCCCCACGGGAGTCCAGAATGGTTCTAATGCTGTGTTTGGGTCTGCTTCGTCTGTAGGGGGAGAGTCACCCTGTAGGCCATGCTCACCGTCTCATGTTCAGTCTCCACCTTCATCTCATTCAAATCTCATTTCCCAGTTGCAGCTTAAGGTCCCTTCTTTCACTGAATTTATGGAAGGTCAGTAAGCAGATGACCTTGTATGACACTTGACATATTGAATAGTCTCGTACGACAGCTTTGATGGCTCTTTTAAAGTCAAATATAAAGCGCTTAGCGATTTTTGCAAAAGACTTTGATTTTCCCACTTTTATATTTCTCTCTGCTTTATGTCTGTAGAACCTGATCCTGAAAATCCAGAGCCCACTTCTGAATGTCCGTCCCCAGATACTTCCCAGAAGACTTGCAAGAGTCCCTCAAAAGCAAGCAAGGTAATGCCCAGTCTGTGCAGGAGCATGTGTGCGTGTTGTGTAATGCGCATATGGATATGTGCATACATCTGTGATTTATCTTAAAGAAATGTTAACAATGTACTTCTTAGAGGAACATGTATGTATGTAACTATCCCTGCGATAACTTAACATTGGTAAATGTGTAAGAATATCTGTCTACAAGAATATCTATCTACAAGCTAAAAAGTTGGTTTGTGTTCTGTTCTTTGGGTAGCTCTGCCTGTTGATGTATTGTCTTGCCTCTGTAGCCACAGGAGACAGTACTGGTGGAGTCAGCAGCTCTGCTGCTCTGACAGCAGTGACGTGACTCACCTGCTTGTCCCCTGGACAGGCGTTTGCTCTGGCCCTGTCCTCGAGGGTGATACGGAGAACGACACTGAGTGGCTCCTGTACAGTATTAAATGCAGTCATTCAGGTTGTAAAGTTTAGCCTGTCTGCTTGCACCACGCCAGTTTTAAAATGTTAAATCACTCTAAAAATGGCTTTATTTTTGTAAATGGTCTCGTCTGAAGTTATTTCTTTTAGACTCAGAAATCTAAAACTTTAACAAAGAAGAGATTCTGAGTTCGGGTCATATTTCTGTTACTACTTTACAATACACTTGCTAGTCTTTGACTCTCAAGAACGATTGATATATACTTGCTGAAAATAGCCTCCTGCTAAGTTTAGGCTTCCTGCTGTTGCTGGGTGGGTTGTTTTGTTGTATTTTTTTTTTTACACCTGTGCCTCAACACTTTTTTGGGGGGAGAGAACAGGACTGTGAGAAGTGTTTTGTTCTCAGGCACGTGCAGTTGAGTGTTTGGAGTGCTGTGCACTGACCACCCCTCTCTCCTCCCAGCCCCCCTCACCCAGTCCTGTCGTTTCAACGCAGCCCCTGGGGAAACCGCCCACGAAGCCGGATTCGCACTGGGAGACCCCAGCGACCGCGCCCGAGGCCGAGAGCACCAATCACCCCAAACCCGAGCTGCAGCAGAAACAGCTGACAAACAACGTCCAAGCACTTTCAAAAACCCATCCATCTCAACCCCACCTGCGCGGTTCCGCTGAGCAACTCTCCCATTCACAGAAGTTGCCTTCTGCACCTTTGAAGCTGCATTGCCCCCCTTCGCCTCACGTGGAAAACCCTCCCAAGGCCTCCACCCCCCACGCGCCCGTGCAGCACGGTTACCTGTCACCAAAGCCTCACTCGCAGCAGTTGGGATCTCCCTACAGACCTCATCACCCCCAGTCACCTCAAGTGGGAACCCCCCAGAGGGAGACACACCGCAGCTTCTACCCGGCAGCGCCCACCCTTCAGCCCGGTAACCAGCAGCCGGCCGGCGGGCCCCTCTTCACCCAGACAACGTCAGGACAATCTTCAGCTTCCTACAGCCAGTTCAACCAACAGAACCTGAACAGCAGCGCCCCTCCTCCCCCGCCTCCCCCGCCCCCTTCTTCTACTTACTATCAAAACCAGCAGCCCTCTGGAAACTTTCAGAGCTACAGCCAGCTGAAGGGCAGCATACCCCAGCAGACTGTGTTCTCATCCGGACCAAATCAAGCCCTGCCCGGCGCCGCGGGTCAGCAGGCGGTGCCGGGACACCACGTCACCCCAGGGCATTTTTTGCCCTCTCAGAATCCCAGTATCCATCACCAGGCCTCGGCCTCTGCCGCTCCACCTCCTCCTCCGCCACCGCCCGCCCCGGGCCCTCACCTGGTCCAGCAGCAAAGTACTCATCAGCAGCACTCTGTAGCACACGTCGTGGGGCCGGTGCACGCCGTGGCGGTAGCTCCCGGCTCCCACATCCATTCTCAAGCTGCTGGGCATCACTTGCCGCCGCCGCCTCCGCCCCCGGGTCCTCTCCCCCACCACCAACCTCCCCACCCTTCCACGGGACACCAAGGTTTGCAAGCACAACACCAGCACGTCGTAAACTCTGCTCCCCCCCCGCCCCC